TCAACTTAACAGTTAGGGCCAATTTTGATAAAAATTTTTTAAAGAGAAAAATTTTTTTATTATCCATACAATTGTTTAACAAATCCACCGAGCTGCAGGTACTTTTTCGAGGCAAAAGAGCAGTGCTTTGGCATGTTGCTTGGGCACAAGAGCTGAGCAATGATGTCTCTTAAAAATGTCTCTGTGTTCTGTGTAATCTACTACCATGTCAGAAATACAAATAATTCATGACAAGGTGCATTTGGATCACCAATATTTGGAAGGAGGAGGAGGTTACTGTAGGTATTATAACCCTATCAACTATTATCTTACGTGTAACCACACGTTTGGTCTTGTGGGGAGTGCTGGATCATTCCTTGTTGCCGAAATTCTGCGCTGTAGCGAGATTAAAATGTAAAGGTAATCCCGATAATGCCGAGAATGGAACATGCCTTTAAATGTAAATGGGACTGCAATGCGGAACTTCTGCGATATGGATTGAATCCAGCCCCATAACTCAAATTATTGTAGCAATTTAGGCAGAAAAAACAGTCAAATGTGTAATAAACTAACTGATTGGATGGCCTTGTGGCCGATGAAAGAGACTATCATATCCTCTTGAAGGGAGCGGTTACAAATATGAAATAATCAACTTTAGTGCTCTGCTACAGATTTTTTATGTAGAGTTGAATGTAGTAATGTCTGATTGGTCAACATTATATTGTGATCATCATTATGGTAATAGACTATAGGTACAAAAGTCAAGTTCACATCTGTATCACATTACGACCAGAGAAAAGGGATTCACATGTGATACAGTAAGGTATGCTGTATTGAACAGAAAAATGTACTTAACCATCTTTTGAAATGGCAAAACACTTTCCTTTCGGTATTTGTGGAAATATTTCCAATGAATAAACAACAGTAAAGTTTTTTTAATACATTTTATTAAGTGACAAAAATACAGCATTTGAATTTTTTTCATTAAATCATCCAGCATAATGTAATAATTTCCAACTAATATTCTGTAATTGATGTTTACATTTTTTATTTCAGAAAATATTCTTTCAATCACGACCATGGAACCAGGAATCAGTCTCGGCAAGGCTGATATTGTTGAGAATATACTTCTATGTTTTGAATCAGTGAATGGGTCTTGCAAAAGATCAATCTTTCCTCCAACAATACGAGTATTACTTTATCTCTTCCTTGGCTCAATGTCTGTTCTCACAGTGTGTGGCAACCTTCTTGTAATCATCCCCATCATTCACTTCAAACAGCTCCACACCCCAACCAACTACCTCATCCTCTCTCTGGCTGTGTCAGACCTCCTCTTGGGGGCTTTAGTGATGCCTCCCAGAATGGTATATTCAGTGGAAAGCTGCTGGTATTTTGGAGATTTATTCTGTAAAATCAAAACCAGCATTGATATTATGTTGTGCAATACATCCATTCTTAATTTTTGTTTTATTTCTATTGACCGGTATTATGCAGTGTGTCGCCCTCTCCTTTATAGAACTAAAATAACTTTTCACGTTGTTCTGATTATGATGTTGGTCACCTGAACTGTTTCTGGCATAGTAGGGTTTTGTATGATATTTCTGGAGTTCATTATTTGGGGCATTGAGGATATTTACTATAAAAATATTGCACGTGAGGAAGGATGTATTTTGTTTCAAAACAAAGCATTGAGTACTGCGTCTTCAGTGCTCTCATTCTACATCCCAGGAGTAGGGATGCTTAGCGTCTACCTAAAGATTTTCCTTATAGCACAGAGACAGGCACGCTCAATTCAGGGTACAACCAATCAGAACTCTGTAGGCAAATCACAGAGGAAGGCCACCAAAACACTTGCTGTCATTATGGGGGTATTTCTATCATTCTGGACACCCTTTTTTGTCGTCAACTGTATTGATCCTTTTATTAGTTACTCTACCCCACCCGTTTTGTTTGTAACGTTTGTATGGATTGGCTATTTGAATTCAACTATTAATCCCATGGTGTATGCATTCTTTTACAGTTGGTTCAGAAGGGCGTTTAGAATGATCATTTCTGGTAAAATATTTCAACCTGACTCTTCAGAAATACAATTGTTTTCAGAATAAATACAGTGAGCTCCAAAAGTACTGAGAGAGTGACACATTTGTTGTTGTTTTGACTCTGTACTCCAGCACTTTGAAATTATACAATGACTATGAGGTTAAAGTGCAGACAGACAGATTTAATTTTAGGGTATTTTAATCCATATTGGGTGAATTGTTTAGAAATTACAGCACTTTTTGTACATAGTCCCCCCATTTTAGGGGACCAAAAGTATTAGAGCTAATTCACTTA